TGGTGTTATTACAAAAATTTTGTAAGATCAAAACTATTTAAAGACATAAGTGTTTACATCACTTAATTTGGAAATTAAGAGGTTTAAATTTTGAAGAGTTTACCCATTGTATATAAAATATTGTACTTAATTTCATACAAAGTTCGAAGACACGCAGCTGCCTTTAAGTATGTATTAACACATTCCAATGGTCAAATATTCATCTATTTATTAGAAACAGTGCATGAACCTTTTAAAATAAAATTTTTACACTTTATAGTCCAGAACTGTGATGTTAAAGAATCTTTAAATCATACTTCAAAACTTTTATCTCATAACAACATACCCGATTATTTAAATGGACTCACATTTTAAAAATAAAAAATACAGTGAACACCATTTTTCTTTCTTTTAGATATTTCAATAGATTATTTGGACTAGAATATAACTAGAATGTGTATGTAACAACGGATATTTAAAAAATCTAAATAACCTACAATTTCCAAAGTGAGAGAAAAAGAGAACATCAAAATGAGAAGAAAAGAGCTGGCTTAGGCAACTATTATCTCTATAAAGGGCTAATTCTTTTTCTTCTGCAAGGAGAGGAGATAAAATTTGATGCAGGAAAACTCATTTGGACACAAATACACAAAAGAGAATCACTGCAATTGATTTAAAAATACTCAGACTCTTTACAATATTTTAAACGAACTTCTATTGCTGAAACAATTTTCAACTAAGAGTATAAAAATAGTAGAGAGAGGTCCCAAATACCCCTTCCTTATTTTTCCCTATGTTAGCATCTTCCATAACCATGGTACATTTGTCAAAATTAAGAAAGTAATAACGGTACATTACTATTAAACTTGAAACTATTCATATTTCAGTAGTTTTTTCACTGATGTCTATTTTCTATTCCAGGATCCAGCTTAAGACAGCACATTACACTCAGTCATCAACTAAGTCTCCTCAGTTTCCTCTGGTCTGTTACAGTATTTCAATCTTTCCTTGTTTTCCATGATGTTGATAGTTTTGAGGAATACTGATCAGGTGTGTTATAGAATGTCCTTCAATTTTAGTTTATGTGATTTTTTTTCATGTTTAGACTAGATTGGGTTATAGGTTTTGAGAATACCACAGAGGTAAATTGCTCTTCTCATCACATCATATTGGGAGTAAATGCAATCAACATTTTCTATTTTATTAATGATTTTAACCTTGACTACCTGGCCAAGATAGTGTTTGCAGGTTTCTCTACTATGAAGTTACTCTTCTCCTCCTTTTCTATACTTTATTCTTTGGAATTTAGTCACTAAGTCGAGCCCACATTCAAGGAAGGAGGGAAAATGAGCTCTACCTGGTGAAGGGAGATGTATCGTGTTAAGCTGAACAATGGTCTCTCAAATATTCAACATTCCAACATCCTGTCATTGTTCTATAGCAAAAGGCAGTTTTGCAGATGTAATTAAATTGAGGAACTTGAGTAGGGAGAATATCCTGGATTATCTCAGTGGGCCCAACATAACAAGAATCCTTATAAGGGGGAGGCAAGAAGGTAAAAAATGACAGAAGATGATGTGAATACAGAAGTGGAAATTGCAGTCATATGGCCAGAAGCCAAGAAACAACAGAAAAGAGGGTGGAAAAGCAGAGCAGACAAGATGTGGTTTAAATGCCAAATTTTATATGAAGGTACTGAAATTTTATCAGAATCCCCAAATCCTTGAAAAGAAATAGTAATTTGACATAGAAGGGTCATTTCTCATTCATCAGATTGGCAAAACCTGAAAATCAATTATTGTGTTGGTGAGTAGATAGAAACATAAACAGCTGATAGGAACAGAAGATTACACTTTTTTTTTTTTTTTTTTTTTTTGAGACAGAGTCTCACTTTGTTGCCAGGTGCCAGGCTGGAGTGCAGTGGCACAATCTTGGCTCACTGCAACCTCCGCCTCCTGGGTTCAAGCAATTCTCCTGCCTCAGCCTCCTGAGTAGCTGGGACTACAGGCGCACGCCACCATGCCCAGCTAATTTTTGTATTTTTAGTAGAGACGGGGTTTCACCATGTTGGCCAGGATGGTCTCGATCTCTTGACCTCATGATCCGCCCACCTCGGCCTCCCAAAGTGCTGGGATTACAGGCTTGAGCCACCGTGCCCTGCCGAAAATTACTCTTTTAGAGAAAAATCATCCAAAAATGTATCTTAAAAGTTAAATGCATTCTTTGACTAAGCAATTTCAATTTAAAAAATTTAGATTTTTTTTTTTTGGTGAAGGTCTCACTCTGTTACTCACTCTGGAGTGCAGTGACATGGTCTTAGCTCACTGCAACCTCAAACTCCTAAGGTGAAACTATCCTCTGCCTCAGTCTCCTAAGTAGTTAGGACTACAGTCATGAGCCACCACACCTGGCTAGTTTTAAATTTTTTTTGTAGAGACGGGATCTTGCTATGTTGCTCAGGCTAGTGTCAAACTCCTGGCCTCAAATAATCTTCCCATCTTGGCCTCTCAAAACACGGAGATTACAGGTGTGAGCCTCTGCACCCAGCCTAGAAATGTTTCTTGGAAACAAAAGCATAAATTTGTAAAAATAAATGTGGAAGGATGTATATTGTGGCATTAATTTAATGCTGCCTTTTTTGTTTTTAATTTGGCACAAACGGTGTTTATAAGTGCTCTACTTGTTTCTGAACATTTATTTCTTCTCAGTTAATAAGCAAATCTTATCCCCTTTACCTCCAAAACATGTTCTAGATCTGTTCACTCCTATCAACAGTTTTTCCTAGTCAATAAACATAAATCAACATATTAAAAATTACACAATACTCTTAATTTTGGATATATCATAAATATGCTACCATTGTTTTTAAAGTCTTTAACAGTATGAATTACAGTAGAGATTTAATGTTTAATTTCAAAAAGACTGCATAGATTCTGACAAATGCAAATGATATTTACAATTACTTTTCTTACAATCACTGAATAACTTTGGTTTTTGGTTCTATTGGCAAAAGGGATTAGTGAAAACCATGGCTAGATGAACATTGGAGCAAACATTCCCAAGCATTATACATATAATTGTAGTTTTTTACACTTATTTCTGTCTAAAGTAATGTTACCGTCTTTGTTGTAAAATTATCTTTTTCAAAAAATACTTTGTAAAGCTTAGTTCTAATATTACAGAATTCATAGTTATGTAATTAATGTTCAAAATCACTCAGCATTGGAGACCCTTGCTATTTTTATTTTCTATAACATGAAGTCGATCATCTCCTTAATAATTTTCAATTTCCATCCTTAGAATTTCTTCAGCTCTGCTACTTTTTCCTTAAGACTAGGGTCATAGGCAGCACATTGGTGAAACTCAGTCTAGGAGTACTGCATTTTGTTTACAAAGTTATTTTCTATGGTCCGCATTTTGTTGGCTGCCTTGGCTACCGTACCTCAATTGAATGTCTTCACCTGCATATTTGTGGACATTGAAGCCATCGGCAGTTTTTCAGAGACATTACCATGTGATATCGTTGAAAAACGCAAGCCAAAAAAACCCCAAGGAATTTCTGGCATCTCTCTTCACTATTCTGCTAGGGTTTGAATAATGAGTAACACTGGCATAACATTCTACAATTTACAAGAACATTTATTTGCTTCATGAAACCTCAAAACCTTTGAGACTATCAGGATCCTACTCACTTTACAGATGAAGATAACTTGCATAATAGTGGTGGGGTTTCCTGGATCTGAATCCTTTACTCTTCACATTATATCGTTTCCTTCCCCATAAGTAATAAAGGACTCCGTTTTTTTTTTTCTTTCTCGAAACCATTTCTTCCATATTAGTTCCCTTTTAAAAGCCCCCCTTAGTATATCTTCAGGGAATCACAAATTCACTATACTATGTATAATTCATGAGTTTCTCTAATAGTATCAAGGCAGCAAATACAGGTGAAGTAATAAGTATGCATTTGACGGTACTTAACACACACAAAGCATTGTTTTACCCCCTGTAAAAACACTGCTAGAGTACAGTGTGTGTGTTGGTGATGCAGGAGGAAGTGGCCAAGAACAGGCGTAATGCCGCATTGAGTAACTTCATCTTGCTCAAGTTCATATCTCTCTTGAATTTCCCCTGGTAAGCCCAAGATGCAGGATCCTTTCTCACATTTTTTTTTTCTTAACAGTTGACGTTGGCTGCGCTCAGGAACGCCTTGCTCTCTTAAGCCACAGTGCCTTTCTGGTGTCTTCACAGGGTCTTCCACAACCGCTCTTTTTTCCTGGGCAAGCTGGTTTGCTGAAAGTTGGGTCTTCCACAACCGCTCTTTTTTTCCTGGGCACGCTGATTTGCTCAAAGTTGGGATGGGTGGTTCCCAAGTTTCCAGGCCAGTTACCTACCTGTCTTAGAGCAATTACGCACTTCTCCCTGGTTGTCCCTGAAATGGTCTAACCATCAGATCGCCCTAATTAACTAAGCCCCAGCTTCTCCTGGCAGTTTCTTGCTTACGGCTCAGTTCAGACAGCATTTGTTCCCGGACGCTCAGCGGGAGGCGGTGTTTCCAGGCTCACTCGAGACCTCAATTCCAGGCGTCCTGCTGCTCCTCTCTACTTCCCAGGAACGTTTTTGGCCTTCCCATTCGGACGCTGCTGCTCCGCCTTCCACTCCTAACACCTCTCCGGCGAACCACGAATGGATCAAATCATTCCACTCACCAACCTAGCGCGGCGGGACTGGCCCAAAAGGGCCGTCTCAGCCTGCGCATGCGGGCTCGGCGGCCGCCACACACTCCCCACCGCCTCCCTCCCGGCGGCCGCGGCGGTTTGGAGCTCGCTGACAGCTCTGCGACCCGCGGACGCAGCCTCGTCTCGTGCTTCCACGTTATCCTATCAGAGATGGGGCGGGGCGGCGGCCTCCGCAGCGTATCAGCTCGAACCACGACCCCGGCGAGCCCGGGAAAGAAGACGCCAGGAAGAAGGCTATTGGACGGCGGCGGCGCTCCGGGGCGTAGCGTCGCCCGGGCCCCGCCCACCGCTGCCTTCCTCCGCTGGGCGCCAGAGACGCTGAGGCCTGAGCTGGAGCCGACCGCGGGCGCGCGCAGCTGCTGCCAGAGTGCTGGCGCGGGCTGGTGGGCCACATATCCTTCCTCCTCCTCACTCGCGAGCCCTCGGACATGGTGGCCCCCGGCTCCGTGACCAGCCGGCTGGGCTCGGTGTTCCCCTTCCTGCTGGTCCTAGTGGATCTGCAGTACGAAGGTGAGTCCTGCCCTGCCCTGGCCGGGAAGCGGGCTCCCGGACCAGGCCACCCGCGCTTCCCCGTCTGCGCCCGGGCGCGTGTCCCAGGGCGACTCGGGAGGTGGGGCGAGCGCCGGGGGATCCCGCGGCCTGGATTGGGCCTGAGCCCGCGCCCAGTTCCGGGTTTGCCTGGGGAAAAGTCGAGGGGACCGGCGGGCCGCGGGGCTGGGACAGTGGGTTTGGAATGAGGAACGGGGCCGTAGGGGTCGGAGGAGGCGGGGTGCGCACCGGGGCGGGGAGCGGGGCCACCGGGCTGCGACTTCAGGACGTCCCGGGACGCGGAGACTTGGGCAGCTTTCGGGCCTCGGCCTCGCTTGGGACCCTCGGTGGGCGCCTGGGAACACTGGCGGTCTTTGGTGCTGGGAGGAACCACTTCAGTGGCCAAAAGGCTTCCTTCGCTCTGGAGTTCTTGGGCGGGGTAGGGTTGTCCTGTCCTGCTGGGAGTTGGAGAGGACGGTGTTGACTATTTAAAAAGTTAGTAACCATTCGCATTACGATGCACTGAGGAGCCGCTGTTGGAATTCCTCCTCCCGGACGGCAAGGCACAGAGTTTGTGGTTTTACAACTTCCAGCATGGTGTCATTCAACGTCTGGCTGGCATTTCTTTTCCAAGTTCTCTGAAAAAAAGGGTTCCCTTGAAAAGATAGGAGCGATTAAATTTCTCTTCAGTCCTGCAGACTGGAATGTTGGCTACTCCAACAGAATAACGAAAATAGAGGGCTGTCCTAGCTTAGATGGCAGAGGGAGGGAGGAAGAATTAAAGCTGATAGTGCCGATTTAACGAATGCTCCTGGCGCGGTTACTGTGCGAAATATTCGAGTGTAATGACACATCACATGCACTGATCTATTTTCATCCTCATAAAAAGGGCTAGTTGTCAAGGAGGTCAAATTAAACCTGAATATTCCATTCAGAGAGAGCGAGGAACTAAAAATTGGGAATTGTTTATAGTGAATTCCTGTAAAAGTTCTCAGCTTTTTTTTTTTTTTTTTTTTTTTTTTTAAAGAGTACTCCCCAGTTTTTGGGTCTCACCCATAGCAATAGGCTTTTGCTTTTGGTTCCCCTGGTAACCATATTTTTTGAACCCCAAATCAGAACACATAGTGTGGCAACACTGGGACAAATAATTTGACAGTGAGGCTGCCCCCAGGAAATCTAGGGGATTGGAATTTGAAGGTCTGTACCACTTTAATATGGGTCATATATTCTAGTTCTTATGCATTTTCAAAAGCTTCATTCCTCCTGCCTCCCACCCCCATCTGTAGATTTATCTCCAGTTATCATTAATGATTTATTTTGGACACTTAAGAGAAAGTTGCCTATGTTCTGTTAAATGGTGATTTTTTTTTTTTTTTAAAGTTACAGAGATGCACGATTTTGAAATGATTGCTTTTCCCACTACTTTGTGAACCACCTTTTTAGAATTGCTGTTCTGTATGATTCTGTAGGACTCTCAACTCTTCATTTCCCTCCTGTGATATTTTCCATAAGAAAACCTCGTTAGAGAGCTTTTCTGTGTAGGAGGCACTGGTGACATTTCTTAGAGGAGTGTCAGAGTGTTTTTAGGAGCATTGTTTGTGTAAAGTAGCAGGGACTTGGTACAGGTGACAGAGAGGAAAGGAAAGAAAGGAGACTTTCTGTAAGCCATCTCTTATTCATGGAAGTGTGTAGTGTTATTCCCACTTTACAGACCAGGGAGCTGAGGCTCCAAAGGTTTTACTAAAGTTCATTTTGTGTGCAGGCTGGAGACAGGAGTTAAGTGGTTGAAAGCATCATGTAAGTCCAAGCATTTGTAAGTGATGGCAGCTGAGAAAAAAACAGCACTTTTTTTTTTTTTTTTTGTAATTAACAAGAAGGTTATTTTCGGCAGGTTTAATATAGTGGTTCTCAAACTTGAGCGTGCATCAAAATCGCACATGGAGGGCTTTTTTTTTTTTTTTAGACGGAGTTTCACTCCTGTTACCCAGGCTGGAGTGCAATGGCGCGATCTCGGCTCACTGCAACCTCCACCTCCTGGGTTCAGGCAATTCTCCTGCCTCAGCCTCCTGAGTATCTGGGATTACAGGCACGCACCACCATGCCCAGCTAATTTTTTGTATTTTTAGTAGAGACGGAGTTTCACCATGTTGACCAGGATGGTCTTGATCTCTTGACCTCGTGATCCACCCGCCTCGGCCTCCCAAAGTGTTGGGATTACAGGCTTGAGCCACCGCGCCCGGCCTGGAGGGCTTTTTAAAACAGAGTGCTGTACCTCACTTACAGAGTTTCCGTTTTGTTAGGTCTCGATGGGACCTGAAATTTTGCGTTTCTAGAAAGACCCCAGATGACCACATTGGAGAACCACTGGTGTAATAAATTATATAGAGGAGTTAAGTTAGGTGTCTGCTGTGTATTTGATACTGGATTTGGTGATGGGGTTATAAAGGTAAGAAGCCCTGACTTAAATTAGCAATCTGTTAGCTCCCGTTTTCCTAAATAAATTCTGTGTCTGGATTCACTAACCTTGTAGTTCTCTGGTATGCAAATAGTGCTAACTGCTAGACCTAAGGCTTAATAAAATTGTGTTGTATTAAGGATTTTTGTTAAATAGGTAGATTTTAGCTGCCCTTGTCACACAAAAAGTAATTATGTGAGATGATAGATATATTAATCTGCTTCACCATTGTAACCATTTAATCTGTGTGTATCTCATAATACAATGTTGCAAACATCAAATGTATACAATATAATTCACTTTAAAGAAAAGAAATGAAGGAAAATGGTTATAAGAGAATAAGTGAATGTGGAACGAAGAGTGGCACAGGATGGAGAAGAGATGACCTAGGTTTTTTTTTTTTTTTTTTTTTTTTTTTTTTTTTTTTTTTTTTTTTTTTTTTTTTTTTTGAAATACTTGTCTCTAGACTTTTTGGTTGTCATCCAGAGACAGAAAGTATATATATCATGAATTGAAAGTCTGAGTCTTTTAGCACCCTTCCTTCTCAAAGGGCTTTGAAAGAGTGAACTCTAAAGCACTAGGTGAAGTAGAATTTTGGGAATAGAAAGAAAACTTCAGTAGTATCTGCTTTAGTATTCTCATGTTACAGATAAGGAAGTGACTTCAGTTCTTTGCTAATGGTTTGGTCTGTTGGTGACTTGAGTAGCAACACAGCCTGGGAAACAAACCTTTTTCTGTTATCATAGTTTTATCTCTTTCTTAACATGCTATCCAGACTCTTCTTTATTTCACTGAGCTGATTAAACCATATATTTTGACCAATTGAAAATCTGTATGTATAAAAGTTTGTGATAATTTTATTTGAACCTAGCCTACTAAAGGTATGTTTTGTCTTCTCTAGGATTTTCTTGGCATTATTGAAATATAAAAAGAATAAATAATGTAGCAGAATGAATGACTTTAAGTAATTTATATAAATTAAGCATTATAAAAGGTGGTCACATATTTTCTAGAATTATTTTAAATTTTTTAATAAGATAAACTATAGTTAGCAGTAGTATCAAAGTTCCAGTTCTCATGACTAGTTAGTATTTGCTGAGAGACTGCCTGGAAATTCAGTGGTTTTCATTCTGTGGGTCAGGGGGAGTTGTTCTGAGAGGGGATACACTGTAGTAATTAGGTTTTACTTTCCCATATGAAGTTGTAAGTTTAATTTCTGCTGTGATTGATTAATATCCTTATGAACAAATTAATCTTTGTTCATATGGAAATATCATGGGAACCCATTCACCTGCTCTTCAGAACTCAAACATGTCAACCATAGATTTATTTTTCTTTTCATATCTTTAGAAAGCTACTTAAAAACTTAAATCTGATGAATTTGTATCATTTGGAGTTCTGGAAATATGGATAAGACTCATTTAATCTGTCAGCAAATTCTACTAACTATATTGCTCTTTGGTGCAATATATATACATAGTATAAAACTCGGCTTTTGCTTTTGAGTTTACAGACCACTTGGGGTTTAAGACATGCATTTGTGAAGCATCTATGTCTTCTTTTTCTCCTTTCTCAGCTTAGACCAAGTGGTCCATCATTGTAGTTAGTGCACTGCAAATGACCATTTATTTATTGGTACCTATAATCTTTTGTTTTACTTCCCAAAACCCAGGACTGGTTAAATTCAACTTGGCCAACTCTTATTATACCTCACAGGTGAACATAGATGGAGGAAAAAGACAACTTTACTGATAAGTCTCATTTATCTTTATTTTAATATTTAATTTTTTTTGAGACATGGTCTTGCCCTGTCACCCAGACTGGAGTGTAGTGCCATTATCCTAGCTCAATGTAGGCTTGACCCCCTGGGCTCAAGCAGTCCTTTCAACTCAGTCTCCTGAATAGCCGGGACCACAGATGTGCACAGTCACACCGCCCAACAAGTATTTTTAAAAATTTTTGTAGGGATAGGGTCTTCTTTGTTGCCCAGGCTGGTCTTGAACTCCTGGGCTCAAGCAATCCTCATGCCTTGGCCTCCCAAACTGCTGGGATTACAGGTGTGAGCCAGTGCCTCTGGCCCTGATTAGTGTCATTTTAAAGAAACAATCTCAGTTGTAATTGCATGTTAAATACTGCTAACATTCTTATAATTCTTTAGTATGTCTATTCTTGAAAATCAGTATTTCAAGGATTTTCCTCCCTCCTTAAGCCTCTAATTTAAACTCTCCTTTCTCCTCTTCCCTACTTCATTCTTTTAGACCCGTCTTTATTGAGAAAATGAAAGCCATCACCAGGCAAGTTCTTCTTCTTTCTTTTTCTTTCTTTCTTTCTTTTTTTGAGATAGAGTCTAGCTCTGTTGCCAGATTGGAGTGCAGTGGCGTGTTCTTGGCTCACTGCAACCTCTGCCTCCTGGATTCAAGCAATTCTCCTGCCTCTGCCTCCCGAGTGGCTGGGACTCCAGGTGTGTGCCACTACGCCTGGCTAATTTTTGTAATTTTATTAGAGATGAGGTTTCACCGTGTTTACC